GGCGCTGCTGCTGCTGCTGCTCTCGATCGAAACTATCTCCCGGGCCCGGGCGCGCTGGGCCTGGCCTGCTGTGCTGTAGCACCCGCACTGAGTAAAAGTTATTTCGTTTCACCCGCGCCTGGTGCTGCCGCCGCTGCTCGCTCTGGGCTCGCGCCCCGGCCCGAGTTACGACCGGCGTGAGAGATTATAAACCCTTGGCCCGCCCCGGCGCGGCCTCCCCTGCGCTGACGCTGATCGGATCGGACGGGGTGGGTGTGCGGAGTGGCGGAGTGTGGTGGGGGCGCGGCAGGATGGAGCCTAGTCTATTGGGCGGATTGGTCGAACAAGGGAGGAGACAAAGTTGCGGAGGAAATGGAAAGTTGTGTAGTGGTGGTGGTGATGGTGCTGCTGCTGCTGCTCGCGTCCCTCAGCTGTTCTGCTTTGCGCCGCAACAACTCGCACACGCGTGGGCGTGGCGCGGCGTGGCGCGGAGCGGAGCAGTGAAAGGGCCGGGCGGGAGCTCCTTCCGCGCCGCGCAGAGCAAGGCGTACAGCAGGAGTTGAGGAAGAGGCAGCCGGGGGAAATAAGAAGCACGGGCAGAAAAAATATGAAAAGTGTATGAAGAAAGGGGGAGGAGCACGTCATATCCGGTTGTAGCGAGAGTGAAGGGTGATATGTTGTTGTCAGCGCCGGGTACGCCATATTCTTCCCCCCGCCGACTTGGGGGCTGTGGAGCAGCAGCAACGCATACATCATGCTATTAGTGGAAGACAAACGACAACTTCGCCGTTGACGGACGGGTGCGCCACTGTATCCTCGGCGGCGCGGCGGTCAAGGTCGACGGCGGCCTCGGGGGCCGGGCGCCCGGGTGTCACTGACCTACTCGAGGCACTCCCGCGCCTTTGGTATGCGCGACCGCGAGCGTGGCGGCCGACGCGCCGTCGCCCCGTGCCAAAAGCCCGTCCGGTCCGGAGAGAGATCTTCCCCCGCTGAATGAACGCCCTTCCCCTCCCGCCCCGTGCCCCCCTGGGAGGCGTGGCCCGAGGGCCCAACCCCGGGGGCGCGGGGCGCCCGACCCGAGTCTGTTCGAGTAGTCCACTCACTGCCGTGCGCGGCCGTGCATGCTGGCGCCCTGCCAACCCCACCGGGGGCCGCCCCGCCGCCCCGCCGCCCCGCCACAATGTGCGCCGGTGCCACGCGGTGTCCATACCCAATGAACCCCCTCTGGGGCTACGCATGGCGATCGGGACTCGAGCCGACTCGAGCCGAGCCAGTCTTGGCCGAAGTTGGGCCTGCTGGTTCCGGCTGCTGCAGCCATGTCGCAGGGTACATATATCTGCTGCGCGGCCCCGCATGACTGCTTTACGGAGTTTCCCCCTCCGGCTCAGCCCGGATCAGCTCCTCCGACTGCGACCCGCCAGACCCGCGCGCACGTGTGCTCGGTCCGCCGCGCCGCGATACTCCCCGGCCACCTCGTCGTGTTGCAGGTTCGCAGTGTTCGCTTTCCTCCGAGAAATGTCACGGGATGTTCGCCGCGCAAAACAACGCGACCGATAAGAGATGTGTGTGATGATGCGAGAGGAAAGTCCCGCGATGTCCTCGCGACTACACGGCATGCCACCACCGCGGCGCGCTCCGTCGGGCTGTACCTGTCCCGCGCGAACTGCGTTACCGCCCTGCGCTGCTGCAGGGCGCCGCGGCGGGGTGGGGCGGGG